GAGGTGGAGTCTTGCTCTGTCACCCAGGCGGGAGTGCAGTGGCACAATCTCAGCTCACTGCAAGCTCTGTCTCCCGGGTTCAAGCGATTCTTCTGCCTCAGTCCCCAACTAGCTGAGACTACAGGCTTGCGCCACCATGCCCAGCTAATTTTTGTATTTTTAGTGGAGACGGGGCTTCACCATATTGGCCAGACTGGTCTTGAACTCCTGACCTTGTGATCTGCCTGCCTCGGCCTCCCAAAGTGCTGGCATTACAGGTGTGAGCCACTACACGCAGCCTGTACTTCGCTCTTTTTAATGGCTGAAGTGTATTCCGTATTATGGATTTGCTATATATTATTGAACTGGACATGGATCTTGGTGTCATTTGCAACAGTGCTACCATAAATGCCTTTTCATATTTGCATTTGCAAACTTACGAAAGTATTTCCATGGGACATATTCTGTGTGCCGATTGCTTTTTAAAAATACTCCTTTAATTCTGTTGCAGCCCTGTTTGGAAATCTTCTGTGACTTCTGGTCACCTGTATCATAAAGCCTAGACTAGAGCCTAGAGCCAATAGAAACATAACGTGAGACATGGAGTCGTTTTAAATTTTCAAGTGTGCACATTATAAAAAAATAAAAAGGAACAGGTGAAATATTTTAATAGCATTTTACTTAGCCAAATGCACCCCAAATATTATAATTTCACTGTGCAATCAGTGTTAAAACGTAAGTAGATATTTCACATCCTTCTTTTTGTACTGAATCTTTGATATCTGTGTATTTTACACTTAAAGCACATCTCAATTTGGACTATCCACATTTCAAGGGCTCAGGTAGGCACACATGTGTGGTTACTGATTGGACAGCCCGTGCCTGCACTCAGCCTGGTGCTTACGGCACTTTACAAATAAGCCACAGTCGGTCACACAAGCCACATTCAGTCACATTTAGCCAACCTGCTTTTGCTTCTGACAGCCCCACAAACTTGCAGTGCTTCCTGTTTATTTTTCCTGCATCCTGCACAGTTTTTTGGGCAGGGTTTCTCAGCTTTGGCACTGTTGACGTTTGGGACCACATAATTCTAAGTTGTGGGTGCCTTGTAGGATATTGAGCAGTATCCTTGGCCTCTACCCACTAGATACAAGTGGCACCTTCTCTGGAATCTCACTACCCCATCTGTGGCAACCAGAAATGTCTCTAGACTGAGAAACAATCTTTAGGGGGAATCAGAAATCTCTACTTATCCATTAGGGTTGTTTTAGCCAACTGGATAAGCCTACTGTGACCTACCCTTCCTCCGAACTGGACTTCTTATCCAGCCAGTGTGGTAAATTTTTATTTTTGTGTATTAGGAACAAAGTTAAAATCAAAACAGAAAATGCACCTCCTTTCGTAGGGTTATCATTTGGTGTTACATGTTTTAGGAATACTGTGAAAAATACAAGAACTTCTGTAGAAACACAGATGAAAATGAGGGAAAGGCTAGAAAGTAAAGTTGCAGGGAAAATGACCTCCGTCTCCACTAAGACTTGAACCGGAAAATAATAATAGTAAATTGTGAGAAGAGTATTTGAGGACAAATTTATAACCAACACAAGGGCCTAAAAACCACCAAAATGGCATACTAAGATAAATAGTGGGACTTTCTTCATTGGAGAATTTTAAGAGAAGAGTGTCATTGCCTTCCAATTATGGTTTCATGTCTGTTCTCCCCAAAGGCATGTGTACTTAAAACCCCTTTTGGCCCCATAAGAAGATTCTTTGGTCCTGATGAGATTATGTGCATTAGAATCACTTCTCCTGGAAAGGAGACGCTAAAGGGTACTTGAATAAAATATTAAAAATTATGAAGGACATAACAAAGGCCAATCAGTCCTTTCTTTTCCCCAGACCCCATAATATGAGAACATGGGTTATTTGATGAAATTAAAGAGTAGCAAATTAAGTGCTAATAAAACGAGATAGTCACTTACATAATTCATTGCCATGGGAGGTCACAGAGGCAAATTTTGTGGCTATATTAAATATGGGGCTGGATAATTTTATGACCGCTAATGATATTTTCAGCAGTCAAGGCTGATACTGTGAGAGAAGAAATCCTATTACATTCTCCAGTAGATGGTTTGCAGGGACCTCTGGCAAGAGGTTTCTGAGAAGTGTAAGAGCAGACCTTGTGAGTTCTAACCTTTGGTGTACTCAAAATTGGTTTTTAAGGTGAAAGTTCCCAGGCATCCCATTCATACTTCAGTGGCACCTTTTCTTGTAGAGATCCAAAAGCCCTTTGTAGTCAGAAGCAGTGGAGAAAGACATTGCCCAGAATTAAATCCTTTCTGGTCTTTGGGAACCACTCGACTTATTTATCATATGCCACCCATGTGTCAAGTCCTTCGCTTGGAGTTTTAACAAATCTTTTGGGGACATAAACATTTGGATGCATCAGTGGCATTCTGAGTGAAGGGGGTGTACTAAAGGTAGAATGCAGAGTTGCATGGGAGCACAAAGAAGCAAAGGGATGTCTCAACCTGTGAGGTTCAGGGAAGGCTCCCAGAGAAGGTGACATTTGAACTGAGTCTTAAAGGATGAGCAGCAGTTCACTGTTTGGCCAGGCAGGGAAGGGTATTCTTGGTAGAAGGAGCATTCCGCATGCACAGATCCGGAGATAGCCTGGCATAATGTGTCAGGGAACTGCCAGTAGATTAGGAAGGTTGCACCATAGAGGCAGAGGACCGGCGAGGAAGGAGCTGGGGCTTGAGAAGGAGGAAGGAGCCGGATGGTGAAGGAAGAGGCTTGTGTTTGCCCGAGACCCCTCTCCAACAGTGGTGCCAGTGTTTCCAGTGGCGACAGTAGTGGTGAGTTGGGAGTAGAGAAGGGGAAGGACTTCAGGGATGTCCTGTGATCGATAAAGGACAGCCTCTCAAAGCCTTGCCCCACTGAGTAATAGGCCTACCTCTTTTTTGATCATAGTCAACAATTAGTTGGCAGTAAGCCTTGCAGTTGACATACTCTTTGCTTCACTCATTTTCCTATATCTGCCTGAAACAGTCTTGACCATGAACCCAATCACCATTATCAATCATTTGAGAAAAAAAAAAAAGAGCCTCCTAGGGCTGGGCGCGGTGACTCATGCATAATCCTAGCATTTTGGGAGGGCGAGGCAGGTAGATCACTTGAGGTCAGGAGTTTGAGACCAGCCTGGCCAACAGGGTGAAACCCCGTCTCTACTAAAAATACAAAAATTAGCCTGGCATGGTGGCGCACGCCTGTAGCCCTGGCTCCTTGGGAGGCTGAGGCATGAGATCGTTTGAACCCAGGAGGTGGAGGTTGCAGTGAGTCAAGATCGCACCACTGCACTCCAGCCTGGGCGACAGAGAGAAACTGTGTCCCCCCCCCAAAAAAAAAAGCCTCTCCTGTGTTTGAGTAGGGGCTGTTTCTTACAGGTCTTAGATAAATTGGGACGAAGTCTAGTGTGTCTGGTCTGATTTTCTCGGGCGCTGCTAGAACAAAAACAGCCCTTGTGTGGGAAAGCAGAGGCAGATTTCATCGGCCTGACCCCAGACTCCCATTTTCTCTGTGAAGTTGGCTCAGCAAACAAGCAAAAAAAACATACAATATCTTTGAGGAGCAGGAGCAGATGGATTGAAATGTTAAAAATCTGGTTTGTTAAATGATTTCAGCTAACAAAATAATTAGAGAGAAAAAGAAGCACCCAAACTCTTTTCCTTCTTCAGTGAAATTTAAATAAGAATATCATTATTAATCACTTAGAGTCCAACTTGCAATTTCTATACCTTTATACTGATACTTTTAAGAAGAATGAAATGAAAATGAGAGAAAGAACGTCATCTGTAAACATGAGTTTAGATGCAAATACTTAAATTTGTTTTGTTACATGATACAGTATGTGATCAGCAGTTTTCTTCATTGCATTATAAAGAGTTCTGTAATTAGTGCATTTTTTCTAATGGATAACTTTTTCTACAGTGCTCTTTTAAGGCTCTTTTAAAAACATGGAATTGCTGGAGAGATATAGAAGTGAGGTTAGTTATAGAAGGTAAATAATGTTCATGTCCAATTTATTGTGAGGCCACCTATGTTATAGGATATTGGTAGATGATGTTGAAATACATGTACCAAACACTGTTTGATGTTAGACACCCAAAGATGGGTAAGGTCATGGCTGGCAATGACTAAGTACAACAAATGGTTTCACCAGGAATCCTTGATGAACTGATTACAAGTTCTGTAGTAGAGATCTGTCTAATGTTAGCTCTGTCTAGGGAGCTGACAGTGTTTTCACAACAGCTAATATTTAGACTAGGTCTGAAAGTAGAAATTACAGTTAACTGGAAGAGAAGAGAGAGTAGATCAAGGTAGCAGAGAGCATTTCAGAACAAAAGCAACAGAGATCTCTCCTGAAACTTTAAATAATTTGTTTTTTCTTTTTTTCTAATTTCTGTTATATCAGTCAATGTTGTTATTTCTAATACATTTTGAAAATTTTTTCTTTGAAGAAAGAATGGGCTGTATCCTGTCAGCATGCAGTAGGTATTAATCTTGCCAGTAGTGAGCACAGTTTCTGTAATTCCCACCATTAGTTCACTTAAGTATTTATTAATCATTTGCTCTCCTGGACTGGACACTCACAAATACGTCTTTGCTGTCAGAGGTGAGGTGCGTGGCATGGGTAACACACATTTCCCCAATTGTTAGGCATGTCTGTGTCATGAATCAATACAAGTTCTTCCAGTTCCAAATGTATAGGTTGGTACAGAAGCAATTGTGGTTTTTGCCTTTGAAAGTAATGGCAGTGATTTTGCATGAAGTATGCCTTTTGTTGACTGGGCTTCCATCAACAAGGCTGTTTATTTATAGTTGTACAAAAAAGAAACATAAGCTTTAAAAAAAGGTTGATGTCAAGTGATAAATGTATCCTTTCAAGGACCATGTAAAAATAGGTGACTATATTTAATGAAACTTTAGGCTTCAAAAAGTGTTTTTTCTGTCTGTTTTAGACCTTAGCTGGATCTCCAAAATACAAGTGAATCACCCGGCAGTTCTGAGGCGTGCGGAACAAATCCAGGCTCGCAGAACAGTGAAAAAGGAGTGGCAGGTAAGGGTTCTTGAGCATTCTGTGCCTGTATTTTACAATGCATGGTCTCTTCCCTCAAGGCCACAATATTGAATTTCGCTCAAGATGCATCTAAACTTAAAAGATTGCAGCTGTCCATGACTTATTTTAATAATTCATATATGATGATGATGGGTTGGAGAAAGATAACACATTTATCCAAACAAGTTAAAAATCTTATCACTCTTGAGTGGCAAAACCGCAAATGAATTTGAGGCATCTTTATTCATGAGTGAATTAAATGGCATATTTTCTCAACACATTTATTCAGTTTTTTAGACATGCCTTCTTTGGTTGTCTTCTATTTTAATTTTAAAGCCCTAACATCTAAACTTGATGTGTCCACTCTTGAGGCCCTTAGGTTTAAGAGTTGACCTTTCTTGACCATCGTGTTTACCTTACTATTACTTTCCATAAATCATTTTTCAAAATCCAAAAATGATGTTTCGTAGAGTACTTGCGGTCAGCATTTTCTTCTGTGTATCCCAACCAAAGACGTGCTGTGTAAGATTAAAAGGAATTCAGAGTTCATTTCACACGTGAGGCAGAATACTGTGATTGAATCCTTGAGAGTGATAGTTCACATTTTGCTCATCCTTAGAAATATTCTGATTGAAAAGATAAAAGAAAATTCATCAGACTAAGTTGTGAAATATGAATATTGTTTTAAAAATGGAATTGGATTAAATTGAAAAAAAAAAAAACACCAAAAAACTTGGAAACTTTTAAAAATAATAATCTCATCCCAGATCCCAGAGCGGGAGGTAAAATGTAAGATAGAAACCTTCTTTCGGAGTTCTTCTATGTCAGGGTGGCTCTGATGGGCTCTCCCTTTGGCTGAGATGGAGTAGTCAGAAGTGGGGAGACATGGGCTAATAGGGGTTTCAATGTGGGATATCTGTGGGAGAAAAACAATGTTTAAGGCCACTCTTCCTCCCTTTTATTTTGGGCAGTGTTCATCTTGTTAGTGGCTCTTGAGCTGTGTTTATATCATATGTCAGAATATTCCATAGAACAGTGTGGGTATAAGATATTAACACCCATACTTGTCTGATGCTTCTCTACTAACCAACTGGGTTGGAGGTTTGTTTGTTTATTTATTTATTAAATTTACTTTGTTTTCACTTTTCTTTAAACCAGGCTGCTTGGCTGCTGAAAGCTGTTACCTTTATAGATCTTACTACACTTTCAGGCGATGATACATCTTCCAACATTCAAAGGCTCTGTTATAAAGCCAAATACCCAATCCGGGAAGATCTCTTAAAAGCTTTAAATATGTATGATAAAGGTAATGTTGTTGGTGTGATCTGTGTGGTGTTTACTGCTTACAATACTGATTACTAGATCTAAGAGGGCTTAAGATACAACTGCTGATGATAGCAGTGATAAAATCCATGATAGAAACTCTTGCTGTGTATACATGGACAGATTCTTCTCTGAAAAACAGCAGGAAGAGAATCTGAGTCTTTTTTTTTTTCCAGGTCAGTTCTTGGATCAAAGTGCTTGGTAGAGAGTGACTTTATTTCTTTTCAGTTCTTCAGTTTTGGGAAATTTCTGTTTAGTGACACTAAAATACTAATTCTGAGTCCCTAGCCACACGTGAAAAAGCCAGTCTCATTACTTAATAATCACATCTCATACATAAAGTATTTTCTGTGAGTATATGAAATACTTTTGAAAATAAAGCGCAAATGAGAAATATAGCCTGCTTGTATATTAGGTTAGATATTTCAAAAAAAGTCATGTTCACTGCCTTAGTATACATGAAAAGAAGGACTTTCCTAAAGTTGCCGTAAGTTTAGGACCTTAGCATTTTGGAGATGTTGGACACCTGTAAGAACTGATTCCCTTGTTTTCTAAATAAAGAACCCCACACCTGGAAGGCTAAGCGGCGTTCCCAAGACTACATGTCTTGTTACTTGCTGGGCTGGTTTTGGGAGCCAGGTCTCCTTCCCATGGAGTATGCTTCATGGCCCCCGAGTGCCAATCTGCTATGAGTGCAACTAGAGGCGCTGAATTGGCCCAATGCAGGTCTTTTGTCCCAAATAAACATGTTTAGGTTTGTAGGTAACATACAAACCTAAACAGCTCTATGGCTTTTGAAAAGTATTTATTATGTTTATTTCGAGTTGGCCATAAAAATACCACCTTATTTATTGCACTCAAAGGTAACAACTTGGTTTAAGGTCTTATGATATTTCTTTGTTTTATAGTGACTATTCGATTTCTAAGTTTTTTAAAATTTATGAACTTATTTCTTAAAATTGGGGCTTCCGTTTCAGATTTTATTATTTCTTTCAAAATTGGGAATAGGATTAGTTAAATGTCATTTTTGTGGTACCGCCCTCTAAATTTTACTTAATATTTTTCTTCATCTGTCCTTCTTCAAACTGTCCTTTCTTCAGGTTGTCCTGTGAGAATGCTCTGTAAATACGGATTTTGTTATCTACCTGAAGTATTTTCATTTAGTAATAATCACCAAGTTTACTATTTAGACATTTCTAAAAAACAGTACTATGTTAATCTCAAGGAAGAGTATATCAAACTTGTTTTTATGACTTTAACGATAAGAAAATAATCCATGTTGTCAAGAACTAGAAGGGAATGTGGAAAATAAAAATCTTTTAATTTATTGCAGCATTGCAGGGGAATTATTTTTTCTCTTGTTTGATTTTTGCCAGTGTTGCAATATAAATAATAATTAAAAGCATGTTGTGTGAATTGAACTTCATTTAAAGTTGGCTATTCCTATTTTTTTTTGATAGGCATTACTACAGCTGCCGTCTGTGTTTATCCCGCCCGGGTGTGTGATGCTGTAAAAGCACTCAAGGCTGCAGGCTGTAATATCCCTGTGGCATCAGGTAAAATGTGCTGTGGCTTTTGTTGTTATTTTTTAAACATGTTTCCAGTTCTTCATACAGTGGGGTATTATATATAGTTTTGTACTATGATTTAAATTTATGTATTTAATTAGTTGTATTTATTCATGATTTTAGTATGTATTAATTGCTTAGTAAGTGGAAGACATATTTATTCCCAACAATATAGAACTGTATTCCTATCCTTAAGGAAACTCAGTTGGTTTAGGAGGAATAGTCAGGTAAAGAAAAAAATCATAAGGCACGATATATAGTATTTATATATATATATACACACACACACACACACACACACTAACACACACGTATGTGTGTTCTGTTTTATATATATATATGTGTGTGTATATACATATGTAAAATATAATGAGGATATGCGGACTGGGGATGGTGGCTCACAACTATAATCCCAGCACTTTGGGAGGCCGAAGCAGGGGATCACTTGAGGTCAGGAGTCCAAGACCAGCCTGGCTAACATGGCAAAACCCCATCTCTACTAAAAATACAAAAATTAGCCAGGCTTGGTGGCAGTGCCTGTAATCCCAGCTCCTGGGAGGCTGAGGCTGGAGAAAGAATCGCTTGAACCTGGGAGGCAGAGGTTGCAGTGAGCCGAGATCATGCCGCTGCACTCCAGCTTGGGTGATAGACCAAGACTCCATCTCAGAAAAAAAAAAAAAAAAGGATATGCGCAAAATGCAGTTGCAATTCTGAGCAGAGAATGATATATTCTGCAGAGGTTGGTGACACCAAAGTAAGAGAAAGCATCGTCGTGGAGATAATTGCATTGGGTTTTAAGGATGAAGAGGAGTTCACAGTGTTAATAAGGTAGGGAACCGCATTTTAGACAGAGGCACTAGCACGTGTGAAGGCACAAAGCATGTTCAGGGGACTGGAGAAGGTTTGCAATTATTGGCTTCAAAGGCAGGGTTCCGAAGACAGGGCAAAGGGGGAGATACAGGAGTTGAAGCTGGAGAGGGAGATCAGGACAGAATTTCAGAGGAGATCTATGCCATGTGGTGGCATTTGGCCTGAATTCTGATGATAGGGAAGACATTGAAAGGTTAGAGGAGTGACATGATCAGCTTCATGAGATAGTAAGTTACCTGATCGTACTGGATAAATTAGAAAAGAGTGAAATGGAGTTAGGGGAGACTTGTCACAGTCCACGTGGGAGCTGATAAGAGCCACACAAAACCTAGAAGATAAAGGAGAGAGTGCATTCGGGAGTCACTGACTTCAGATAGACACAGTAGGACTTGGTATGACAGAAAAGTCTTTAAAGCATTAGTTTGGTAAATATATATCTGTGTGTATATGGATGGATGAATAGACAGATATAAAATTAGATTCTAGTTTTAAGAGATGTTCGAGGAATATCCTGATGCTTTAAAAAGGGAGTCTAGGCCAGGCGTGGTGGCTCACATCTGTAATCCCAGCACTTTGGAAGGCCCAGGCAAGAGGATTGATTAAAGCTGGAAGTTTGAGACCAGCGTGGGCAACAAAAGGTCTCTAGAAAAAAATAAAATAAGTAAATATTTTAAAGGAGTTTATAGCTTATTAGGAATATATTAAAACAAACATGGTGCACAGTATTTATATAGAATTGGTTTATGAGGATTCCCGAAGTATTTGGCAGCTACACCTGTGTAGACCTTAATTTTTCATCAGCCTCAGTCAGTACAGTTTTTGCTTTAAACAACAGAGAAACATGCTTTCCTCTAAGGTAGCAGACCTAAGGAATTGTTTTTAATTTTTATTTTTTGAGACAGAGGTTCGCTGTGTCACCCAGGCTGGAGTGCAGTGGCACGATCTCGGCTCACTGCAACCTCTGCCTCCTGAATTCAAGCAGTTCACCTGCCTCAGCCTCCCGAGTAGCTGGGGCTACGGGCGTGCACCACCACACCAGGCTAATTTTTATACTTTTAGTAGAGATGGGATTTCACCATGTTGGCCAGGCTAGTCTCAACCTCCTCACCTCGGGTGATCCACTTGCCTTAACATCCCAAAATGTTGGGATTACAGGCAAGGGCCACCATGCCCAGTCCCAAGGAATTTAATGTCAAGGAAACATGACAGGTTGTATTTAGAAACAGGGATGGAGAGTTAATGATGTGCGTATAAAAGATGTTACTATTTTTCAAGAGTGTAGTTGTCTTTTGTGTTTTCATTTTCCTCTTATTTACACTTGGCTCTACCCTGCCCCTCCCCCAATTTTGTGGACTAATTAGGTACGTTTTCCTCCTGCATTCTCTTTTCTTTATGCTCATCTGGTTGTTTTTAACATAGGCAATGGGAGGAACACATATGACAGTTTGTTTACCACAGCTAAAGAGGTTCATGACAAAGTTAATCAAGATAAATCAAGGGTAAAAGAGTAAAAATCAAAATGGCTAACTTGATCAAGATTTGGATCCAGAACTAGTGTGCTAGGTAACTAGTGTTCATTAAGACAGGGCTACAACTACTATTTTATGGCTATCACTGTGAAGATAACATTTTTGCTGGTTACTTAATCCACCTTCATGAGCATCTCTGCAGCATCTTAATTTCAGGTCTTCCAGAAGATGATAATATTTGTCCTAACACTAATATGAGAGAACATTCTATTTCTTCACACTTATGCATAACATAAGTGATGTTCTTAAGTGTCATTAATGCATTGGTCTTTAAATGCTGATGTTTTGGGGTCTGGAGTTCTTTGATGAATTACTGACCAATTGAAATTTGTTTTCCCCTCCCCCACTTCCTTACTTTCCTTCTTCCCTCCTTCCCTCTTTCTTCCTTTCCTTTCTTATCTCTATTAGTGGCCACTGGATTTCCAGCTGGACAGACTCATTTGAAGACACGATTAGAAGAGATCAGATTGGCTGTGGAAGATGGAGCTACAGAAATCGACGTGGTAATTAACAGAAGCCTGGTGCTGACAGGCCAGTGGGAAGGTAGGTGCATGCTCTTACCTAAGAGAGTGTCACCATTCTTCCCTGGTGAATCAGATGATGAGATACGATGTAGTATGTTTTAGAGGTCACTGTTCTAGATGACAAATTAGTAGATCAAAGGGTGAATTTAGGAGAAAGCATGACTAAGATTACTCATCCTTGTGCCCCTCATAAATCTAGGCAGTTGCCTACCTGCATGAACTTCCCTTTTTTATGTTAATTTTTGCAGTCTTTGAAGATATGGGATTATTTAGTTGACTAAGTTTATTTTTACTTCTTGCTTTCTTATACATAGCTCTGATGACTATCATGAGATTAATGATTCACTGTCACATCAGAATACAATAAGACATTGCCCTTTCCAGCAACAAGCTTTTGTTTTTTTAAGTAGATATTAAAGAATCAAATAGATTTTACCTCTGTCTTAAATACATTTTGTATACTAAAGATGAGGTCATTGGTAGCTAGAAAAGTAAAATTCTCTCTTTCAAAAAAGTCATTATAATAAATAGTTTAACCAAATTTTTATTTTTCTTTTTTGAGACGGAGTCTTGCTCTGTTGCCCAGGCTGGAGTGCAGTGGCGCAATCTCGGCTCACTGCAAGCTCTGACTCCCTGGTTAACGCCATTCTCCTGCCTCAGTCTCCTGAGTAGCTGGGACTACAGGCGCCTGCCACCACGCCTGGCTCATTTATTGTATTTTTAATAGAGACGGGGTTTCACTGTGTTAGTCAGGATAGTCTCGATCTCCTGACCTCGTGATCTGCCCTCCTCGGCCTCCCAAAGTGCTGGGATTACAGGCGTGAGCCACCGCGCCCAGCCTAACCAGAAATTTTTAATGATATCACAAGTGAAAGCTAGGATAATATATTGTCTCTTTATATGTGTGTATATCAAAAGGCATATTTTATACTAATTATGGAGACTATACCTACTCACTGTTTAAAAACAAAAATCCCCACTAGTCATAAAGGAAGTGGATATTCCTTGTAATCTCACTCCCTTGAAATAACCCTTGGTAACACTGCAGGGTGTAACTTTCCACACTTCTCTACATAGCATGCTATCCCCACACTCTTTTAAAGTTTAAATAAGAGAGAGGATCTTATCTCTTATTTAACCTGCTTATTGGACTTGCCTATATCTCATGGGTATTTTCTTGTGACTCTTTCTATTCATTTATATCTGTAAAGCCTTTGTTTGTCTATTTGTGAAGCCTAATTCCATTGATTGTCAATTATGAATTGCTTTTGGTTATGAAGTAGCAAACGTTCAGTCAGTGGTTTAAACCCTCAGTATTTACTTTCTTATATAAAGTCCAGGGGTAGGTATTTCAGGGGTGTGTGGCAGCTCCACAGAGTTCTTGGAGACCCGGTCTACGTTTATATTCCAGTTCCAAAGCACGTGGCTTCTGCTCTTAATATCAAGAGCACTTCATTGTCTGAGATGGCTTCTGAAGCTCCAGCCCCTTACACTCATTTTTTAGATCACAGGAAAGAAAGGCTTTTCACATCAAGTCTCACACAACACCTTTGCTTATTACACCTTTGCCCGTTGGCCTGAGCTGAGTGACGTGGCCATTTTTGGCTTCAAGTAAGCTGGAAAATAGAGTTTTTAGCTTGGAATATTAGCTACTTTCCTGTACATTCCCATTTCCATTACCTTCACCCCTCCGCTCCCCAAGTTCCCCATTAATACTCATCAACATTTATAATTCTTGCCAGGTTTAAATTCTTGACAGTTCACAAATATCTTTTTGTATTTTGTGTTCCTTTTTTAATATTGTTCATGTGTGTGTTTTAGCCAATTACAGTCATTCTTATAAGGCATATTTTAAATAGATGTCTCTGTTCCTATATATTAATTTTGCTTATCTGCTTTTAGTTCACTAAGATTTAAGGCTAGAGTAAAATGAAAAAGTGAGTAAGCACAGTATTTAAAACAAATCTGGCAATAAAGTTTATGTGATTTAGTTGTATATAAACCTATGTGTCCTTTATATCTTAAGCAATTGTAGGTATAGAAATAGAGTTTATAACTTACACCTTTTATTAAGCAGTTGTAGATATAGAAATATGGTTTATATTATGCTACTAATTAGAAAATAAAATACAATAGGAGATGGGTTTTGATGCAATTGACTGCCTCTTAATGAACTCTAGGAATGGTTGTTTTTAAGAACTGATAATTTCCCAATAACAGGCATTTATGCAAAATATAATGACACATCTTTGTCCTGGACCATACTTTTATATTAACTCTTTTTCTGGTGTTAATAACCTCTCGACCCAAACAAATTGAAAAGGAACATTAATACTAGAAATTTAATTCTAAATAGAAACCTGAAATGACTTAGGACTTTTCACTGCAATATTTTGTCTTAATTTTGATTCTCAATTTAATTGCATATTGTATTTTTCTGTGTCATGTTTTAATATTAGCTGTTTATTAAAATATGAACGTAAACGAATGTCTTGGAATTTGTGGATGGAAATGTCTATCAAGCAATTGCATTTTTAAATCTAGGGCCCTCTCCCTTGTGCAGTGAGGTTTGTGGGATACTTGGTAAAGCACAATAGAAAGAACCTCATTTAATTTCATTTTTTAAGTTCTGGGGGACATGTGCCGAATGTGCAGATTTGTCGCATAGGTAAACGTGTGCCATGGTGGTTTGCTCCACCTATCAACCCATCACCTAGGTAGGTATTAAGTGCCGTATGCATTAGCTATTTTCCCTAATGCACTACCTGCCTCCACCCTTCCCCGACAGGCCTCAATGTGTGTTGTTCCCCTCCCTGGGTCCATGTGTTCTCATTAAGAACCCCATTTTTTTAAACCTGGCCCTTCAGAGTAGTCTTAACCATTTCTCATGGACATGAGAGTCCACAGTTTAGGGTATGAACTAGAGGAGACTGGAGTTTGGGGGTGAGGGAGGTCTCATATTCCTCTCTGGGTTCTCCTTAGTGACCATTTAAAATGTCCACTTTCCTGAAATTTCTTACTTTCCCACCCTCCTTGAAGTTCCTTCACTGTTAGCATGTGAACTACCTGCTACTTCTCAGAGAAGATAAAACCATCAGACAGGAGCTCCCTCCAGGTCCTTGTGTCAGGGCTGCTTTTCTTTGCTTCTTCCTTTGCTCCTTCCTCATAAATTCAGTCCCTCCACTGTGCTGTGGCTCTCATCTCCCCCTGCATTTTCAGAAGCCCTGCTCTATCCATTGGGCATTCTTTCTCTTGTGTCATCAGCCTCTCGCTGCCAGTTCATTGCCATTAAGCATTTAGACATACTCAAGCTTTTCTTAGCCATTTACGAAAGAACCCACATGCCGGCTTTCCCTTACCTTCATCCCCAGCAACGTCCTCCTTTCTTCTCTTCCCTTCATGACTAAAATTCTGAAAAGAAGACCCGGTGCGGTGGCTCACACCTGTAATCCCAGCACTTTGGGAGGCTGAAACGGGCACTTTGGGAGGCCTCATCCCCTTTTGCTCTGCGCCGCCCTAAGTTCTGTTTCCGCAGCGACACTCAGGGGCAGGGCGGCTTCCTCACTTGAGGTCGGAAGTTCGAAACCAGCCTGGCCAACATGGCAAAACCCTGTCTCTACTAAAAATACAAAAATTCGTTGGGTATGGTGGCACATACCTGTAATCCCAGCTACTCTGGAGGTTGAGGTGAGCGAATTGCTTGAACCTGGGAGGCAGAAGTTGCAGTGAGCCGAGATTGTGCCAATGCACTGCAGCCTGAGGGACAGAGTGAGATTCTGTCTAAAAAAAAAATTTGTTTTGAAAAGAGTTTATTTGTTTGTCTTGAGAAGTTCAAACTAATATACTAATGACCTCTCATCTCATTTTGTCCAGGTCATACTCCCTAGTTGTTTATTTAGCATTACCATGGAACATATGACACAGCAGACTGTTCCTTCCTTCTGGTAACACTTTCTTGTCGTGGCTTTAGTGACTACATTCCTGAGGTCTTCTTTTCTGTTTCTGATTACCCCTGCGTCTCATTTGGAAGCTCCTCCACCTCCTCTGTAATCTCAGATTCTGAGAACCATGGACACTGAACTGTGGTTCTCAGAGTCTGTCCCGGTGTGACTTTTCTGCAACCTTGGTGTACTTTCCTTTGGAAATGTCATGTCCTTGCTGATTTAAGTTACATTCCTTATGGCAAAGACAACCAAACCTCCTGAGCACCAGGACCACCTGGACCCAGGGCCACCTACTCCAGAACCCGTATTCCGTTGTATCACTATACCATGTTGCATTTCACCCATCATTTACATATAAGTAGACATTCAAAATCACTGAACCTTGATGAAATCAGAGAAATCTAGCTATTTTAGAAATAAATCTATTAGGCCAGGCACAGTGGCTTATGCCTGTAATCCTAGCACTCTGGGAGGCTGAGGCAGGCAGATCACTTGAGCCCAGGAGTTCAAGACCAGTCTGGACAAATGGCAAAACCCCATCTCTGAAAAAAAAAAAATTGCAAAAATTAGCCTGGCGTGGTGGTATGTGCCTGTACTCCCAGCTACTCAGGGTTGGGGCTGAGGTGGGAGGATTCCTTGAGCCTGGGAGGCAGAGGTTTCAGTGAGCCATGATTATGCCACTGCACTCATAAACCACTGTGTGTAGCCGTATTGATGCATTTGCAAAATAGCTTGAGCAAGAGAGTAAGACCCTATCTCAAAAAAAAAAAAAAAAAAAAAACTATTAAAAAATATTTTCATTTCCCTGACTTTCTTAACAATTTTTATTAAATACAATTCAATTTTTTATTGATTGTTCCAAACTGTTTTGTTACTGATTATATTATCCCAGAATACAGTGATGCTTTCAGGGGCCAGTGAAATCTCTGAGATGATTGGCCTCATAGCTCACAGTCCAGACTCTTTTTTGATTTATGTATCTTCTTATTTGTTACTGTTTTTTTGCCTGCTCCTTAGTAGTTAAGCTTTTTACTGTTAGGTCATGTTGAGCTCGTGATGGCACACTGTCCTTCCC